ACAAAATGGCAAAAACTTCAATAAATAGAAAGTCTGAAAAAACTAAAACTACCACAATAAAAACTAAACTGAAACTGAACAATATTAACTAATTGCAGCTCGTAAAAACAAGTAAACTCTAAAAATGAACTAAACCTAACTGAATTAGACGAACAAAGAGTCCCAACAAAATAAAACTAATCTATAATAAAAACTTAAAACTATCAGGAACCCAGAGTTCCCACAGCTGCACCTGTGAGGAGGTTTTTGCACAGAGCAGCAGTGATATTCAGCACTGTGGTAGCGAGCAGCACAGTAGTAAATTGCGCTGCTGTCTTGGCTGAGCTCTGCGACGGTTAAAGTGCTGTTTTTGTCTCTGTTTGCGCTCCCGTCTATCTTCACGTTGAGCTCCTTCTCTGGATATCCGTCGTCTCCCAGCATGTATCCCAGGAGCTTCATCTCATGAAGCTCCGACTGTTTGTACCAGAGGATGCGGTCGTAGTCTGGGATACTATGAGAGCAGCTGATCTTTGCCGTTTCTCCAGGGTTTCTGAACATGTCAGCAGGAATCTGGACGATTTTGTCGCTTGGAGAGGAACCTGTCAGGGGACACAAAATCAAATGTGAGGCTTAAAGAAATGAGGAGTTTTGATCCTTTTGAGTTAAAAACCAGAGAACATTCTGGAAGACTTCATACCAGAAACAAGTGTGATATGCAGACTTAAGCAGCAGAGGATGAAGAGGATCATTTTGTTCCAGTCAGATTGTCTTTGGTTATGTTGCTATGGCTGCATATGAAGTAATCCAGGTGGGTGGAGTCACCTTAGCTCCACTTTTTAGCATAAAATATCACATCAGTGATTTAAAAAAAAAAAGATTCACTTTAAGAGGTGAAAAACACTCTGTCAACTCTTAAAGAGTAAATATCCTAAAAATATCAGTTAGTGTTAAAAGTTCAGGTTAAATCTAGTCGTAAACTATAACCTGTTGTTATAAACTCTTTATACTGGATGTGCTCCTGTGTGACAGGAAACACTGCCTCCTAGTGGACAAAAATAATGATTCACAGTGAAGCTTATCAACTGGAAGTTTTGCAAAGTTAAAAACAGCAAAAATAATAATTATAATAAAAATCTGAAGAAATTAGGAATAAACATATGCTAGGAGCATTTTGTTGTGGATGGAGTTAAATTGGCCTGTTAGTGTGTGAGGATCAAAATTATTAGTCTAGTTTTATTTTATTTTAGTCGATTAAAGCTACTGTCTATAAGGTCAACAAAATTCTGTGTAAAATGTAGATACTTTTTGATCAATTCACTTGAATTAACACAAAAGTGAATCGTGTTTTTAACCAGTTGTTGCATAACAATGTCTGAATATGCAACACATACAAAAACAAAAAACATCTTTAAATAAAATGGCACACATTTGTATTAAGTTCTCTAAATACAAACTAATAATTATTAAATTACTTATGTGACCCTCTGGAATCTAAATGGCCACATAAATAAAATATTTAAGCTGTGTGCTTAAATATTATTTTATGAGTCTAATCAAAGCAGTTTTTATCTCGCCGATTATGGCTGAAAAACGTATCACGATGTAAGAGTTTCATGTTAGTCAATACTTATAGTTATTTGTTAGTGTTTTATATTTTAAATATCTGAAATGCTGCCCAGTCGGTCACATGTTCCCTGTTGAATTCACAGTTTCTTCTTCTTGTACTCGTTTCCTGCTCTCCCTCCACACTGTTTCTATCTTTGTGCAATTATGAAGGACGTTGACAAGAGATGAAACTGTTATTCAACAAGTTGTTGCTAGGTAACCAAAAAGTGAGTGAGTTAGCGTTGTAGCTTAGCTGGCCGTGAGAGGTTGAGCGCCTAACGCCTTTTCTCTGTCTACATCCTCCAGAGGGCTGTGAGGTTCTGGATTGAACGTTCTATCAGACATATTATCTATTGATATTTCTGTCTGTCGACTTAATTTATTAGTCAGTCGTACTCCAAAGCAGTTCTAACAAACAAAAGCTAAGTTTCTGTCCAGTGTTGTAAAATTTCACCTCCACATCAACATCCTGTTTAGACAAAATACTCCCTAATGAAATGACTGAAAGTGGAGAGTTCATGCAGCTGCAGCAGGATGTGAGGTTTTTGCACAGAGCAGCAGTGATATTCAGCACTGTGGTAACTAGCAGCACAGTAGTAAACTGCACTGCTTTTCTCATTCAGCTCCTTTATTACTAAAGTACAGTTTTGTCCTTTATTTGCATTTCCTTCTAACTCCATCTTCACACCAGTTCCAGGTTCAGGAGTTGTGTTGTCTATCAGTCTATACCCCAGCAGCTGCAGCTGTTTGTCCTTTAATTTCTTGTACCAGAGGATTACATCATAGTTCTGGATGTTGTGAGAGCATCTGATTCTGGCTTCTTCTCCTCACTTTGCCAGAATGTTGAACGGAGTCTGATGAACCTGATCACTCAGAGAAGAACCTGTGAAGAACATGAACACTGATTACACAGGAACTGATAAAATATCATTTATCATCAGGGTACAACAGTCAGAAACACATCTACTAATGAAATGACAACAGAGTAAATGACTGATGTATTAAAACTGATTACCTGAAACCACAACAAGGATCTGAACCATCAAGACCAGCAGGATTAACATCATGCTGCTGTTTGTAGGTCGATTGTAGCTACTGAAGGTGTTCAGTGTTTCTGTGGTTCTGATTCTTTTAAAACCTCCAATCAGCATCGACACATGTTCTGTGGGTGGAGTCACAGCGCCCCCTAGAGATTATTATTATTTTGTCCCGTAAGATGCTGCTCTGTGTCATGGAAGGAGCTGATCATTTGATTTATGTTCAGTAAAGAAGAAATTAGAAATCTTTGCAGAAAAATGTGGACAAAACCAAACTGTTCAGGGTTTTATTGTTTATTTCAAAGTATCTCAGGAATCTGTTGGCTACCACCTTCTGTAAAACACCCAATACTGCTGGAAAAAACTGACTGGACTACAAGTCTGCCAGATCAGCTGCTTCGCATTTAAATATTACCAAGACTCTGCCTTTCTTTTCCAATCGTTCAGAAACCCACACTTGATCATGTAATGTGCAAGACGTTAATTGCAAAGATAATTCCTTATTCAGTAGACGATGAGCTCAGAGACTCAGGGTTTTTGCACTGGCAGCCTTTTGTTTTTGTCACTGTGGCGACTGGCAGCGCAGAAGTAAACCCCGCTGCTGCTCCGGCCGAGTCTTTCCACCATTAACGTGCAGTTCTGATCTTTATCGGCGCTTCCACCCATCTTTACGTCCAGCCCGTCCACCGTTAACGTCCCGCCGAAGTAGACGTACCCCAGGAAGATCAGCTGTCTGTCTGACTGCTTGTACCAGAGGATCCGGTTGTATTCTGTAACTGCGTGTGAGCAGTAGATGTTGGCCGTTCCTCCCTCTGAGCCGTAGATCTCAGCTGGAGTCTTGACGGACCTGCAGGCCAGAAGAACCTGGACTGATTGTAGCGTCGCCTGGAAACAGAATCAAATAAATGCTCAGAATAAGAACGGTCTCCGTCTTTTAAATAGGCTGAAAGGTGCTGTCAGTGAATCTGAGTGGACGGATGATTTGTGTTTTATCAGATTTTCCTTTTATCAAATCATCATGGAGAAGGAGGAGCTTCAGTTTCTGCTTGGCGCTGAGACAGTCTGACGATACACCGCCGCCTCATGAAAGGAAGCAACACAGCTGCAAAAAGATATGACAACAAAAAGATTAAACTGGAGGTTTTTGTGCTGGGGAGCATTAATATGAAGCACTGTGGTATTTAGCGGCGCAGAAATAAACGGCGCTGCTGCTCACACTCAGATCCTCCACCGTCAGAGTGCAGATCTTGTCTTTGCTTGCGCTGCCACTGATTTTCACCTTAACATCCTTCTCTGGGTATCCGTTTACAACATCGTTATATCCCAGGAGCTGCATCTGGCTGCTTGTTGAGTGTTTGTACCAGAGGATAACATCGTAGCTGTCAATGCTGTGTGTGCAGTTGATGACGGCGGTTCCTCCGGGCTCCTGGAACAGATCAGCTGGAGTCTGATGGACCTGATCGCTGAGGGAAGAGCCTGTTGAAACGTGAAATTTCATCAGCGGAGGCTGAATATAGTGTAAAAACTCTCCTTTATCCAGAATGATTAAGAGTAGAAATGTAAAACGAGGTTTTAAATGTACCAAAAACTGATTTTACCTAAAACTTGAATCATGTTGAACATTAAGCAGAAGATGACAATCATATTGTTGAGTTTTCTGAATTATCAATCCAGTTGAAGTGACTATTTAACATACATGCTGCTGTTCTTCCTAAAATTATGAAACCTTTACATGACGAACATAAACGGGTGTTTTTTTAAGGATGTGTGACATCACACTTCCTCTTGTTGTCTTAACCAATCAACTCACTGAACAAACACCTTTTAGTCTGTAGCCACATGCTGCCCTCTAATGTTTGTCTCTTGACTAAAATATTTAGTTTTAGTCATAATTTAGTCATTAAAAGTATTAGTCTAGTTTTATAATATCATTGTAGGCGATTAAATCTTCTGTCAATGTTAACAAAATTCTATGTAAAATGTAGATACCTTTTGATCAATTCACTTGGATTAACACAGAAGTGAATCGTGTTTTTAACCAGTTGTGGTATAACATTGTCTGAATATGCAACAGATACAAAAACAGACTTAACTTTTTTTAAAAACATCTTTAAATAAAAGATGTTTTATTTAAAGCATATTTTATTGCTTTAAATAAAGGATTTAAATAAAAGGCATTTTGTGTATGGGGGGACGGAAATGCCCAAAATAGATACAGTAGCAGAGAAATATATTGTTTTGAAGTCCTTCATTTGTATGAAGTTATCTACATACAAACTAGTAATTATTAAATTATTTGACCCTCTGGATTCTACATGGCCATTTAAATAAAACTTTTATGATAAAAGCTGTGTTACGCCTTTTCTCTGTCTACATCCTCCAGAAAGCTGCGCGGCTCTGGATTGGAGTTCATTGAAATTATTGAACGTTCTATCAGACATATTAGCTATTGATATTACTGTCTGTTGAGTTATATATTATTCATTTTTTAGCCAGACGTACTCCAAAGCAGTACTAACAAACACATTTCGCCTCCACAACAACATCCTGTTTAGACAAAATACTCCCTAATGAAATGACTGAAAGTGGAGAGTTCATGCAGCTGCAGCAGGATGTGAGGTTTTTGCACAGAGCAGCAGTGATATTCAGCACTGTGGTAACTAGCAGCACAGTAGTAAACTGCACTGCTGTTCTCATTCAGCTCCTTTATTACTAAAGTACAG